ACCAACACGAGGTCTTCCACACCTCGGACTTTGCACATGCTGCCTTCCTCTTCCTGAGTTGAGGGGAAGAGAGGACAGCAGAGGACAAAGAATGGGGCTGGGGGAACACAACAGGGAAGACTCATGGTGAGCAGCTGGAGACTCAGGACAATGACCAGGAGAGGGGTCAGAGAAGTCCAGTGGGGGGAATGGGTCAGAATGTCAGGGAAGGGCCTAGTGGCCTGATGCCTACTCACACGGGACAAGCTACCCAAGTGGTCAAACCTCCCTAGTGCAAGGCCATGGTGGCCCTACCAAGACCAGGCCCACACGGTGCAGCAGGGAGGGGGGACACGCTGGCCTAGGGTGGGCCCTGGAAAGCCGGTGACAGCAGAGGGAGAGACAGCTGGAGATGCTGAAAAAGGAGAAACCGACAGGGAGGTCTGAGAAGGCAGAGGGACCAGAGGTCGGATGTTGGCAGGGTCGGGAGCCTGGGTGAGAAGAGGCTCTGGGACAGGGTGCCTTTCCATGCCAGCACCCTGGGCTGATGCTCCTTCAGCCAGTGTGTCCTTCCAGCTTGTTCTCTGCACCTTCTGCTCTGACCCTTCACCTGTCAACTCCTAGGGACTCCATGTGCCCAACTGAAGACCCTCTTCCCCACCTGAGTGCTGTAGGTCTCCTCAGAATGACCCAAACTACTGTGCCCAGCTGTGCCACTGCCCATGACAGTTGCCTTTGTACCTAAATCAGAGCCATCCATTTCCATGAACCTTTGTGGGTAAGACAGTCAACCTAGTTAGATCTGAATCCTCCGTGACACCTCACACTGAATCCCGTGCTGTGAACATTTTATAGATGACTGGAGTCAAAAGCCCTGGATCAAGTCACAGCTTTGAGACATTTTCCCCTCTTCGTAGCTTCAAGAAAATCATTTCATTTGCCTGAGCCTCAGTACTTAAACTATCTGTAAGGGAACCAAATTCAATTGTGTGCTGAAGAATTAGATGCGTTATTGAATATGATAGAGCTTTGGGAAATAAAAAAAAAACAGAATTAAACTGTTATATATATTATCATGCATTGCTATTATGTCTTATGAGGAGCTGGTCTTTCAAATTCAGTTATTCCCAACAAGAATATCCACAATACAAACAAGTTTTGATTTGGATCTTTGAGCAGTTTGGAGAGGTAGTGGGTGGTGGAATGAGGTCTGGAATTTGGAACAGGTTCTTAAATAACTTGGGACTTAAATCACTCAACTCATCAATTTAGTTATAAATACTTGCTGAGCACCCACCATGCCTCAAGCAACGGGGATACAGAGTGAGAACCCTTAGGAGGGAGCAAGGGAAGGACAGACAGGCATGCCCATCAGCAGTGAGTTCAATCACTCCAGCAAGCACCCAGTGGAGGTAGGGGAGCAGGGCTCAGCCAGGCAAGGGGAGCAGGGGCAGTCTAGGAGGTCTTTAAAGGAGGCACTTTGAATTGCAGTTTGGAGGATGGGTGGGGGCCTGCCACAGAGAACTTGGGGAGGGAATAGTGTGTGCATGGGGAAGAAATGTGAGGCACACAGGCTAAGGGGGCTTCCAGAATTCCCATCCTCTCTGCCAATCAAACTCTTGTGTAATTGTCTCCTCCAGAGTTTGGGCCAAACAATAAGAACATGGCAAAGGGGACAGAATGTCACCTCTGTGGTTAGATGACATTCTGTAAGGCTTCTTCTTGCTGGAAGATTGATTCTAGAATCTTGTTCTTCTCTTTGGCCTCAAAGAAACAGGTACAGTAGAATCTGCAGATGCAAGGAAATCAGTGAAGGCAGCCAATAACCAAGTCGTTTGGAAGTAGATGTTCTCCATTTGAGCCTCCAGATGAGAACACAGCCCAGTCGATGCTTCAGTGGCAGCCTGGAAACATTGTGAAGCCTTGAGCCCCAATAAACTATTCCATGCCAGGAATCCTGACTTGCTGCATTTGTGTTAATTTGTTATACAGCATTAGAAAACTAACACCACGTGTGAGTCAATAACAGAACACTGTTAGACTCGGAAAGGACACAGGCAACTCCTAAGGCTTGGTTTTCCCAAATGTGAAATCGAGACTGTAATAAGCTCAGACACACCTGCTTCAGAGGACCACTGGGAGACCCAGTGAGATATTAGATGTGAAGGGTTCCCAGGACGTCAACTGCCATATAGCGGCTGGTTGGTAGCTTCCATTTCTTCACACACACACACACAAAAAAAAAAAAAAAAGAAAGAAAGAAAGAAAGAAAAAAAAAATCCCAGAGCAGGCTTCCTGTCCACTGAGAAAAAGTAATAACTTGAGGCACAATCAGCTATTTCTGTATCCCCAAAGCACTATTCTTCCTGGCCTCTGAGCCTTTGGCCCGCAGTTTCTCCATCTCAAACACTCCTCCTTCCCCTCCCCGTCTCCTGCTCCTGGCTACCTCCTACTTCTCATGCACTTTTGAGGTTAGATATCATCTCTCCCAGGTCCTTCATGGAGCAAGGTGACCAGCTCAGTGACCCATCCCCTTCCCCTCCCCAGTACTCAACACTTAGCATGGTCGGTTCTCCACTTCTCCCCTGATCTCTCTGTCTCACAGCCCACCTTCCCATGAGCTGTCACCTCCTCAAGATAAGGGTTGTATCCTCTCCGCCTCACAACCCTAGTGTCCGGCCCTAAATGTATATCCTAGGACACAGACTCAGAGGGGAGGCGGACTTCCCAGCCCAGACAGCCCTGCTATGATCAAGGAATCAGGACTTCACCACCGTCTGCCCCAGGAAACCTTATTACACCTAAGAAGAGGGAACATGGGGGATGGAGGTTTCTTCTTTGAAAAAAAAAAAAGGAAAGGAACAGACCTGGAGAGCCTTTGGTCCTGAGGCCAGCAGCTCCTGCTGCAGCTCCTCAAGCCGCTGCTGGGACCTTTCCTTCTGCCCCAGGCTGCTCTCGGTTGCCAGCTGGACTCCTGAGCAGCGCTCCTGAGCCTTCTTCCTGAGGGGAGTTGGAAGGGCGGCCTTGCCAGTGCTCTGCTGGAGAAGGGGAGGCCTCAATCAGGCAGAGACCAGGGTGCTTCCACACCAGCCCTGGGAAGCTACGTCAGGCGGGGACAAGGGAGGAGGAAACATGCACACCCCCATCACAGGCTCCAGGTGCAGCAGGTACAAAGGCTCTGATGGGGCTGGAGACGGGGACAGCAGGCAGTCACAGCAGGCAGTCACTCCTCCTGCACCCTCCTGTCCCAGGAGCTCTGGGACTCCCCCTGGGTGACACCACGTGGTTGAGCCAATACCACCTGCCCCTTCACTTCCCCTTTCCAGCTGGAGCTCTTGAATTCAGCCTCCAACACTTACCACCTGTGGGACCCAAGGGACACCAATCAGTCCTGCAGAAACCCCATTTCCCACCTAAAAATGAGCTGATTCCTCAATGGTTGTGAGAGAATCCTGGGTAAGTGTGGGCGACTTTAGACATCGGGTCTTCCAGCGGCTTCCCTTCAACACGGCAGCCACCCAAACCCAGAGGCAAACGTCCGCTTGAAAGAAAACAGGGCGCCACGTGAGACAGCGCTGAGTGAGTGACGTTCCACCCGTGGAGTGCCGTCGCTGGTGAGGGGGCAGCCTGCCGAGCAGCAACGCCGTGCAGAGGACAGCAGCCTGCAGTGCCAGCCCTGCCGTCCGTCCACAGCACCGGAACACTGGCCACCTCCCACCCTCCCACAGCATCCGGGTGTCCTCCATCCATGACAAAACTGGGGCTCCAAGGCCATAATGCCTTTCCAGAGAACCCCAGGGAGGACTCGGGGGCCACAAGTCAGCTCCGTGCTCCCCACCGCACCACGCTCCCCAACTCCTTTGATTGCTTCAAACAGGCAGGGAGCAGCCAGACTGTCCAAACCCTGACCCCGCTGTTCCCCCACCTCAGGGTCTCACACCCCTCCCCTTGGTGTTTCTAGATGAGCAGAACAGCTTCAGCCACACGTGATACAAACCCAACCCGCTGACTCCTGTGCCTGAGACGGGCAGAGGTGGCGTAACTGGGTCCTGGTGCTCCGTGGATGATGCCAGCCAGGTTGAGACCCAGGGCACACAGACGTCTACGGGCAGCTCTTCCGCAGGCCCACGCCTTCCCCAGCAGAGCCGACTCCTCCCCAGCCCTCTATCAGGACAACTGTGCCCAGCACCTTGATCCACAGCCACCTGAGCACTCCCACTCCTGAGGGGCGGAGCCTCTGAGACCCGGTGCTCCTCCTCGATGAAGTCCCTGCTGCTGCAGACCCCCGTCCCCCTTCTGCATGACACCTTCACTGAGCCCTTCCTGACTCTGGTCTTCCAACACCCCGAGGGCTGATGTGGCCCGGGGCCTGGAGGTGGCTCTTGGTTTGTTTCCAGTCAGAGAAGCTGTTACTGCGACTGCTGGCTTTCTCTATTTTCATAAGGGACACAGAAACCACTTTAGGGCTCTTTCCTTACAGGCATGAAACCAGAATAGCGCAGTAGAGGAGGGTAAGCAAGGACCTTTTTAAGTTGCAAAAGCTTGTCATGGGAAGGAAACTATTTAGACCCCAGTCCTGAACCTTTTGATGTTCAATGTTTACAGAACCTGTCTGAATATAGTGTAGCATGCAAGGGGGCTTTGTGAACAGGGCCCCCACACCAGACTTCCCTCCCGCCGAGTTCAGAGTTCTCTCTATTCTAGCCCCAAGTGGGCAGATAAGTCAGGGCACAGGAGCTCCGCAGGCCTGCCTCCTGCAATTCAGGGAGGAGGATCCACTTTGGCATCAGTTCAGTGGCCCATGTCTGCAATCCCAGCAGCTCCAGAGGATGAGGCAGGAGGATTGCAAGTTCAAAGCCAGCCTGAGCAACTTGGTGGGGCCCTGAGCAACTTAGTGAGATCCTGTCTTAAAATACAAATTAAAAAGGACTGGCCATGTGGCTCAGTGGTTACACAATTCTGGGTTCAATCGGAAAAAAGAAAAACAAAACAAAACAAAAAAAGAAACCACAGACTCTGGCTCAGTTTAACAGAGGCCGTGTATATTAGAAATCAGAAAGACTTTGCTCAAAGTCACGAAGTTTTAATGTCATCGGCCTCTGGTTCGGAGCACCAACCACAGAGAGAAGAGAAGACAGTGCCGTATGGGGTCTCAGAGCCCCAGCCCAGGCCTCCCTTTGCTGTTTGGTTTCCCCACAAGGCAGCGGCAGGAAGGGCGAAACTGCAGAGGTGCCAACTTCCCCTGGCGCCTCACTCACCCCGGGCAAGAAGAGTCACTCAAGACTGGAGAGTGGGTGCACTCGTCGGGCCCGTGTCCTCTCTGTGCCTCACGAGCCTGGAACTCGGAGGTGCAGGGTGGCATTCATTCCTCAGGGACACTGTCTACTCATGAAGCCCTAGGCTTGGGATAGGAGAGTGTAGCGAGAGAAACAGAGCAACTAGCTGAGATCTCTCCAGCTGTGAGTGTCAGTAGCAAGCTTCAGCACATCTCCACGTCCAGGCCGACGCTGAGGTGGCCTTTCATCCAGGAGATGACAAAGTGACAGGTGTCACCTCTTCTGACTTGTCACACCCAGGCCCTGTGCTCTTCAGCTGCTGCCCAGTGAGAGAAAAAGGTGGGCCTTTAAAACGTAATGCTTATGCAATGGTCATCATCATCACTCAAAAAATGAAACATTCAAATCAGGTTCTCCTGGGCCTTCCAGGTTCCCTCCTCCAACATAAATTGAAAGGGGGGCCTGAGGAGCAGGACTTGCCTGGGTAGGGCCTTGTCCTGAAGACTCTGCCCGCTAGCACGCCCCAGCCTCCGATCCCTGCTGCGCCTCAGCCCTGGGTCAGCTCCCGGAGCCCTCAGCTGGCCGACTCCCTGCCCTTTGCTGTGTTTCTCCCTCTTCCCATCTTCCTGTCTCCACCTCTTTCCTCCTTCCCCAGGCTCTCTGCACCCTTTCCCTTGGCTAGACCTAAATCCATGTGATGTTCTATATAGCAAAGTTAGTTTTCTTCAATGTGACACTGCAGCTGTTCTGAAAAACAGAACTACCGGGCAGTAGCGATTCCCCTCACTGCCATTAAGATCCCTTCCCCTCTGTGCCAAGGGAGTCTTCCCTGAAGAGCAAAGGCTTCTTCCTGGGGTTTCAACAACCAGAGTGTTGGCTGCCCTGAAGCCTTGGCTCTTCCTGCTGTCGCTCCCCTGGCCCGCCCAGCCCTGCTCCTGGGGTCCTGGGCCTCCACGGAGCCGCAGGCTTGCCCGACCTACCCTGGGCTCCAGCCCTGCTCAGGCGGAGCTCTGTGGCTCAGGGCAGCCGACTGACCTGCAGGATGCTCACAACAGAGGGGCCAGGCGGGAGGGAAGTGGCCTGCGCAGGTTGAAGGACTGTCACTGTGAAGCCCAGCTGCATGCTCAGAGCCCTTCATCTGTTACAACTAATGATGCCCTCAGCTGGCCGACCCTGGGTGGACCCCAAGGGATTCCATCTCAGAATCCAGCAGCCACAGTTTACAGATGTGACACATGCAGGCCCTGAATGACAGGCCATCTGTCACACTCACTGTGTCCCATCAAGGTCCTCTCTGTTTGCCCTGGATGGTGATTTTTTTCTTCCCTCACTCCCGTTGGGCCCAAGGTCATGCAGGATGTAGACAAGAATGGAAAACCGTGGCTCACCAGCCTGCTGGTGGCTGTCCCACAGCCCGGCACATGTCCCATGATGCTCTGGAAAAGGCACAGCCTTGTCGTGAGGCTTGGGCTCCAGGCCCAGTTCCTCCGTCACTTCTATACATGTGACCTCAGCCAATGACTTGGTTCCTGGGTCCTGGCAAGAAGCAGGTGCTGCTCTAAGGCTGGGTGATGCAGGGACGTGACAGAAGTCAGGGTGGGACTCTAGGAAACCTGAGGAACCCATGAAAGGCAGGGACACTCACCATCCCAGGTCAAGGCAAGGGCCATGGAGCTGTGGCCTCCTGTAGAGGGACACAGGTGTCTCACAGCGCACACACGCTCCCTCTCCCCACCTCCCAGACAAATCGGTACAGAAGCCAGAGGGCAAGAGACCTGAGGAAGCTCCGGGAACACAGAGCCATGCCCAGGCAGGAAGGACGGGCACCAGCACCTCCAGCAGGCTGCATCTCCAGGTCTGCAGAACAGAAGCAATCGTCACCACAGGCGCTGGAGTGAGGTGGTCCACACCCATCTCCCAGGCCAGCATCTGGCCAGGGGAGCGGCTGGGACTCGCCTTCACAGTGCCCTGTGCCTGTCACGTCTGCCCCACCCACATCAGCTCTTCACCCGGCAGCCCCGGTCCACTGCAGGGCCACATGGCCCCCAGGTCCACGGGCACCTCAGAAGGCACGATACCTGAGGTTTTGCAGTTTCCACAGCACGTGAGCAGGTTTCACACTCACCGCGGCCTGGGAGAAGGAGAGTTTGCTCCCAGCTGACAGACGAGGGTCTGAGGTGCAGATGATTTACTCTGCCCAGGATCTGAGGGTCGCCAGCGGGAGTCAAGACTCACACAGAGATCCTCACCTCCCAGGTCTGCGTCTCTGCCTTTGTTCCACGGGTCACACCCACCAGGGGAGTGGATCATGTTAGTTTTCTGACGCAGCCAGAGGAGAGGGACCCTCCCCTGTGGCCGACACTGGTATGTGCTACCCAGATTCCCTCACAACTCTGGGTACACCCTTCTCTCAGCTTCAGGCTTCCGTGTGCTTTTTTGTTTACAGTCCCTGAAATTTTTCAAGCAAAGATTCCCCTCAGGTGAATGGCACCACTTTCTCCTGGACTCAAGGAGTTAGGACAATGCCCAGGAATTCTTACTGCTCAGGAATTCATGACCATAGGGCTGCTCCACCCACCTCCCCTGCCTGGTGGCAGGGCCACTCCCAGGCTGAGAGTGGTCCAGAGTTCCCTATGGGATCACTGAGATCCACCGTCGCAGGACCCTTAGGCTCCCCCACTCCCTCACTGGCTTCCCCAGAGCACTGTCTCAGTGGGTCACCTGCACACACGTCCTCGTCCCAAGACCTGACTGGGAAACCCAACCTAAGACATCCCCTTGTCCCAAAGCCCCTTTGTAGGTACTAATTATATCCTTGCACTGAGGGATGGTCAGACTGGGCCACCTCCCCTATATCAGAGGCAACCTCTATTCTGTCCCGGATCCCCAGGCTTTTTGTGAAATTGCACACCATTTTAAAATTGCAAAAAATCACTCTCCATCAGAGCCCATAAGGATCCAGTGAAATCTCTAACTCCTGGTCACAGCAATAAGCACAGCACACGATGGCCCATATGGAATTTCTCAGGGAGGCACAGGCCTACCTAATTCCCCTCAAATTTCATCTACCCAGAGGGCTGGCACCTAGAACTTCACTCCCAGGGTTGAGTGCCACTCCACCCAAACAGCCTATTTGAAGCCAGGTTTGTGGGGGGATGGAGGGAGGGGAGGAGGATGGGGGGGAGGACGGGGAGGGGGAGGGGAGGAGGAGGAGGACAGGAGGAGGACAGGAGGAGGAGGAGAGGAGGTGGGGGGGAGGACGGGGAGGGGGAGGGGGAGGACGGGGGTCTGGAGTGGAGGGAGGGGGCTCTAGGCTGAAGGTCCCTCTCACTTCTGCCCCTCCCAGCCTGTGGCGAGCAGGGCTGGGGAACCTGGCCAACCATGACAACGGAGGGACAGAGCACAGCTCAGAACCACTCGGACAACAGGGAAGACTCACTGCTTCACACATCCCAAGTTCAACTCCGGTGCTCCAGGCCTGGCTCCCTCCCAGCTCAACAGCTTTATCAAGGATCCAAGGTGTCTCCATACTTCCTGTGTGCCCTCTTCAGTCTGAGACTGTGATCCCGGTTCTAGCTACTGTCATGGTCACAAGATGGCTCAACACCTCCATTCATTAGAGAAATGCAAATCAATACCCAATGAGATGCCCGCACACACCTGTGCAAATGGAGATTTTTAAATACCCACCATACCGAGGTTGGCGAAGACGTGCAAGATTAGGAACTTTTATGCACTGCTGGTGGAAATAAGAAACAGACAAACTTGTTAGAGAACAGTTGGCGATTTCTTAAGAAGTTAAACCTAAACCTACCCACCACAAGATCCAGCCACTCCATTTCTAGGTATTTTCTCAAGAGAAATGAAGCCACCCATTCACACAAAGATTTGTGATTGGTAACAGCCCCTTTACATGTAGCAGTCAAAAGTTCATCAGCAGGTGAGTGGGGAAGCAGATTCGGGTACGTTGACACGATTGAGTCCCACTTGGCAACAAATAGGAATGCACTATGGATCTTCTTAACCACATAAATGAAGCTTTAAGTAAGCATGCTATGTGCAAGAGGCAGAAATGAAACACAATTGCCATATGATTCATTTACATACAAACCTAGGAAATGCAAACTAATGCACAGTGACAGAAAGCCAGAACTTGTCAGAGGGGAGAGAGAAACTACAAAGGGGCACAAGGGGGATTTGGGGAGTGATTTACACATTTGCTATCTTGATTGTGATGACAGTTTCAAGGTGTGTGCATGCCTCCGTCCCTTTGAGCTTCTACAACAAATCACCTGAGACAGTGTCATGTGTAAAGAACAAAAACTTATCTCACAGTTCTGGAGGCTGGGAAGTCCAAGATCAAGTTGTGCAGGTACAGTTCTCTGTTGAGCACTTGTTCTGTTTCCAAGATGGCTCCTTGTTGCTGTGTCCTCACGTGGAGGAAAGGACAAAAGTGAAAAGGGACCATACTCTGTCAATCCCCTCATTACAACATTAATCCATTCATGAGTATGGAGCCCCGTGATCTAAGCATCATCCAAAAGGTCCCGTCTCCCAATGCTGTTTCACTGGGGATTCCATTCCCAACATACAAAAGTTGTTGGACACATTCAGACCTCAGCAGTGGGTGGGCCAAAATGCATCAAGCTGCATGCTTTAATTATGTGTATGGCAGGGCATGAGAGCACATGCCTGTAATCCCAGCTATACTGCAGGCTGAGGAAGGAGGATCAAAAGTTCAAGGCCAGCCTTGACAGTGTAGTAAGACCTTGTCTCAAAGTAAAAAAAAAAATAAAAGGGCAGGGGGTGTTAGGTAAGCAGTAGTGCCTTTGGGATCAATCTCTAGTACCTGAAAATAACTAGATAAATATATATGTACAGTGAACTGCATTTCAATTATGCCTCAATAAACCTCTTTTAAAACTGTAGGAACAGCTTGGAACATGGGAAAACACTAATGAAAATGGTTCCCTCCACTATCACCAACCAGAAACAACTCCTTAGCAAGCAGAGTCCTGTGTCTGTGTGTTCCTGGTCTGGTCATGTTTCCTGAGTGGCTACTATGAGCTGCTTGTGCACTGGCGCTGGGGATGCAACAAGGACAACTTTGTGCTCCACGGTCTAAATTCCAGCTGAGTCGGCAGACAAGAGACAGCAACAGACAACATGTCCCCAAGTGCATGCCTCTGACTCTGCATACCTACCAGTTTGGCTTCCCTGGGTTTTCACCTTTCCCTGCTGACTATCAGTCCCTAGGAACATATGGTTTCTTTTAATGACATCCTATCACTAAGTAAGCTACAGTTGGGACACGGTCAGCAAGAAGGTCCAGTTCTCTGCTTGAGCACACATTGATTTTGAAGACACCCGGCCATCCCACCCTGGACTCATCAACACATTTCTGCTCTTCCCTTTCCATGTCCGCCTTGCCTCCCATTAACAGAACGGAAGTGAGCACACTGCAGTCAAAGGAGCAGGGTGTGGGTGTGGCTCACACCTGCCTTCCAACTCCTCACTGCCATCTTCTAAGAACCTCAGGAAGACAGTGAGCCTCCCAGGGCCTCCATTCCTCTGTCTATACAATGGGGATAATATCATTTCCAGAGCTAGTGGGAAGACAAGAGATAATGCATATGAGAACCAAGCAGTGCCTAGCATATGTAGGTGCTCAGAACATTCAAAGTCTCTCTACAACAGCGATTCCAATTCAGGCTCCACAATTAGCACTGTGTTGGTGGGCAATTGTATCATTGTGATCATGTCTTTCTTCCTCTGAAAGGTCAAGGTTGCAATCTGTATCTCCCAGGCTACATCTCAGGTTCACCCTAAGAGTCACTTTAGAAATTTATTATGTTAACATAGTCCAAGCACCCACTCACTGCCAAGAAATGCTTTGGTGTTCTGAAGTTCATGCAAGAGAAACAGAAATGACATAGTCCATGACCTGTAGGCGCTCAGGAGGTATGAGCAGTCAATCAAGCTACGGAGAGAGAAGGAAGCTCTGGAGGGTAGGGAACACAGAGGCACTCCTCCCTGCCTGGGGAAGAGGGGCCTCAGGAAAGGCTTTCTGCAGGGTAGATGGTCTGAGAAAGGCTGAAAGAATCTGTGGGATTCATCCAAGGAGCAAGGGGAAGAACTGTGTTCCAGGCAGATGGTCAACAGTGCTGGTCATAGTAGACAACTGCAAATTCATAGGCACTGAGAGAGTTGGGGTGTGCCCAGCACCCTACCTGGTGACAGGTGCAGCCAGGGAGCTGTTTTCCCTTCCCATCTCTTCCCCATGCCACTGCCCACCTGGCCAGCAGCTAGCAGAGCTGTGTTGGTCATTGCTGCTGGACTGGCCCAGGAGCAGGCATGCCTGGTGGACATAACATCCTCCTTTCAGCAGGCTCTGACGTGCCTCCCTTCTGTGGGCACTGACTCAGCCTGGTGGCAGTTAGAGACCCCTTGCCGTGGAGCTTTGAGACCTGTGCAGTCGTTCTTATGTAACATATTCCCCTTAGTCCTCCGGCCTTTATGGCTTCCAGCTCATGATCAGTCGCAGTGTCGCTCCTGCTGTGGAAGCTGGGACTGAGAAAGACATTCTGGATGGCTTGATTCTGCCCCCTATTTGGGGCCCTTAACTAAGCTGTCCCGTATGCCCCCCCCCCCACATCTCCAGAATGGCTGACCCCTGGTGACAAATTGGGAACCCAAGGAGGGAAGCAGCCATGGTCCTGTGACACATGCTGGGACCACATGGCTCCATGGACATTCTCCATCTCCACCTCACAGAGGGAGAGACTGGGGCTCGGCGGCAGGAGAAGGGTTTGTCTGAATCACAGGCTCAGGGGTCACGGCCAGGATTTCGGCTTCGTGTGCCTGGCCCCGTGGTCCCTGTTGCTTCTCCTGTACCAGAGCATCTTCCAAACCCCAAATATCAGGAGGATGGAAGGAATGTGTTCAGCTCTGGGGAAACTCTCCTGAAGACCACTCAGGGGCTGCCGGGCCTCTGCTTCCAAGACCTGCTGACTGCCACCAGGAGCCAGTGGCGATGACCTTGTAGAAGAGCCTCTGAGGAGGAGTCTGGAGAGGCGTCAGGCTGCCGGGTGTTGAGATCTGACTGACGTTTTTAAGAGCACTGGGTCTGCCATGTGGAGAACTAGGGGAGGCCACGCAGGCAGCCTGGGGACCTGCCAGGAGGCTGGTGTCGCGTGGAGGGCATAACGGTGGAGGCTGGGCCTGTGCAGCTGCAGGAGCTGGGGCGAAGGGGACAAGTGCAGACTCTCCTGAGGACACTCCCACAGGTCTCACTCCCTGTGGGCTGGAGAGAGAGACGGGGGTGAAGCAGTGACATGAATTAAGGACTCCTGGGACTTGGGCTTGAGTGATTTGGAGGATGGTGGTGACATTTACCAAGACAGGAACACGACGGAAGAACAACTTAGGAGGAAAGGTGGGAAATTAAGACTTTTTTCCTGATGTATTAAGTTGAGATGCCCATTAGTCATCTAAGTGGAGATGTCAAGTAGCAGGGTAGACGAGCCTGCGGCACGGATGTCAGTGCCGGGATTTAAATTTGGAAGTCATTACGAAGACGATATTTAAGCCATGGCAGTGACTGGGGTCATCTAAGGAGAATGTGCAGGGAAAGAAAGACAGGGACCCATGGTGGAGCCCTGCAGTGGCCCCACACTCAGGCCCAGAGCAGAGGAGATGCGGGAAAGGGCCTGGTGGGGAGAGGGGGCCTCGGAGTGAAGCCAGAGCAAGTTCAGGAGCCAAAGTCCTCATCCATGTGACAGCCACCACCGGGTGAAGGCAGAAAAGAGACCCTGGAACTCACCAGCTGGAGGGGGACAGGGAGCTTCCATAGAGCAAGGGGCCAGATTCGGGAACTGGAGCCTGTGGAAGAAGAAACCAGAGGTCAGGAAAGAAACGCGACGTTCGGGAAGTTCTGCTGCTCAGGGGAGGCAAGAGGGCCACAGAGGCAAGGGCAGAACCTGGTGGCGGCAGACGCCAGAACACGTGGTTACTCTGAAGGGAGAACCCCAAGCGCAGGGGTAAAGTGCTCTAAGGCGGACCTCGGGGGAGTGTGCCCTTCCACAGAGCTGGACCCTGCCTCCCCTGGGCTGGGAGGAAAGGAAGTGAACGCAGAAGCA